GGCTATATCTTTATATGTGTTGCTGTTTTTAAAGGAAAGTGAAAGTTCATCACAAAATAGTTGGGTGGCCGTTTACTACACCCAAGACTTCTATATGGGAAAGGTTCTTGAAATGGATGCAATGAAGAGGACGGCGAAAACAAAATTCTTGGAGCGTCRACCAGGATGCCTATTTGAATTWAACGCGGTCAATCTAGAAATAGGAACAGTGGATTACGATCAGGTGTTTATCCATGATGTCACTATGTGCATTGAGGGCAAACATCAATATAGAATCGTAAATCCGCCCATTAAAGAGATACGAAAATTGCATGGAAAAATTAAAAAGGTAATTAATTTTATATCTGAACGATTGGGTATATTATGACTGAAAACAGACGTCGAGATTTACAACATCAATCCCATGTTAAAGTTACTCATGAAAAACGTGTGGGSTTATCTAGTGAAAACACTGCTATAATCACACTAACCCAGTTTACCTATGCTACTCTACAGACTCTACAATCTTTTAGATGCAATAAACTGTTTACGCGTAGTCACGGATTATAGTGCATTCCACATTTTGTTTTGTCAAGTGAAGTGCATTGGAAATAATTGTTTTCTAATAACTGTTGGTACTAATGTTTTATTGCTAAAATTTTCACATATTTCTTTTTTTCTCAGCTGTACAGAGTTTGGAAAGTATCAAAACTTTCGGAACTTGAAAACAAGATCGTCAATAAGGAGGATRGAGAGTTGACGCTTGCATCGCTAAAAACTTTACTATCAACAATTGTAGGAGAAGAGTTGGCGATGTTAAGGGCCTTCAAGAAACCTAAGGAGTTCGTCGTTGGATGGATAAATGATGAGGTAATTACGTACATTTAGAGCTATTCATCTTTTAATAAAACCTATTTCCTAAGCTGAAATTCTTGATGTTCCTTTTTCCTAGGTCGTAAACGTGATAATGGACATTATCACAAAGAGAGAGAGAGAACAGGTTAAGTTCCTTTATGTATATCCCGTATATTACACACCAAGTTTGGTAATAAAATTTGTGTATTATTTGCACCCGATCCTCTYGTTGTTAAYGGTTAGTAACCGTCTTTGTTAACTAACAAAACACGGTTAATAGCCGTGTCAGCATACTTCCGCAACTTGCCGGAAGTTACTTCGTTACCGTTTTAGCCGTGTCAGCAAGCTTGCCGGGAAACAACAAACAAATATACTACTGAATCGTTGACCGAGACGAAGCTTACAAGCACACTTTTACCAGTTTTCCCGATGTTTTCGACCTCATGCCAAAGACACCTCGTCGCCTTCAAAAACCTAAGAACCGTAGTACTTTTACWGTTAGATCTTTAATATCTAATCGAAAACGGAATGTGAATTATGTGAACAAGGGAGCGACGACTTGTGTCGACCATACAAAATCAACAACCGAAGATCAGGTAAGCTTACCATCCTCGAGTGTACCTGAATTGTTTGAGCCAACCTTAAGAGTCGATAAGACTCCACAAACCTGGACTAGTCGAACGGAAAAAAGCTGTGAAGAGTGGAACAACCTCGCGACTWAACTTCGACAGACTTGGGTTGACCATGAGGCCGCCATTGATGGAGTCTTATGCGTCCATTGTGCTCAAACAAAAGGTGCTATAAGATGCAAAGACTGTGGGCCAGATCAGTTTTTTTGTGAAGACTGTGCATTTGATCTTCATTCAAAACGATGTATCTTTCATCGACTTGAAAAATGGGAGGTAAGTTAGCTAAATATACTTGTTTTTAAGCTTATAGCATGTTGGGCATTCCTGAGCCTTTAGCGACTCAAAAACTAATCGTATTGGCCCTGTAAAACCCTGGTCCTTGCATTTTCTATTTACWTTGATGAATTCTATGACCTTAATTAAGCTTACTCTCTTGATAGACTTACTGCCCTGGATTTTATGGATTTTAAATACATAGGGGTTTTAATTTAGTAAGCTCTATATTAACTTAACTAAGTTATAAATTAATACTTAAGCTTAAATTATAAGCTTATTAAGCTTAAAAAATATTTATATTTTAATATTTAATATTTAAGTTAAGTTACTAATTTGATGCTAAACTATTTTTATTTTTTTATGAATTTATATAGAATGGTTTTTACAGTCCATTTGCACTACGAAAGCAAATGACCTCATTACTTCAGCAGCACATTAATTCATGCAAAACTAAAGTAAAAAATGTTAAACTTATAGATGATAGAGGTGAGTAATCTGTATGCATGCACTAGTCTTCTGATTGTCTAATGTAGGGGCTGAGTACCCTCCCTCAGCTGGTTACCTTGTACCCATAATTTCCCCTATTCTTCTCCTTTGTGGCCATTTTGTGGTATGTTCCCCCTCCTAAGGTGACAGGTGCASCCCTCTCTGGATAAGATCTTGGATTTCTTGTAATAGCTTTTATCTCAATCTAATATAARATTTGCACTAATATTATTAATATGTCGAGTTCTGTTATTTTRTTGATTTAACTTGATTAGGTAAGTGTAATTCTGAGATGACATTGTTATAGTAGATATTTAGTCATTCATTTATTTTTAAATGACTATTTCACACACTTAGTTATATATAGGTATAGTAAAACCAAAGGACTTGATTAGCCTCTTCCTACATGGATTGTATATACTATTACAATAACTATTGTTGCTATCCTAATTGAATTGTTGTCTTTTGATTTTCCATAACTAGGAATTAGTAATGAAGTGGAGTTCAAGTTCKGTTCTTGTGAAGATGAAGCTTCCGCATTACTCCGTAATGGATTCTGGCCATTTTCGCTACAGAATCCACAATCAGCTATTAGTCTAGTACTCCTGGACCTCATTTATTTTTTAATAATGGAATGCCAAGTTTCCCTGAAACGCTCATGTTCCGCGATCAAGCTCTTGGCTCAGCCTTTTCAGCACTCAAAGGTTTATTGATTTTTCTTAATATTATGACATGTACTGGACTATTTAACATTTTAATGTTATTACATTGCTAGSATAAACAGATTTTTTAAACAAAAGATTGTTGYTATTGTTTGATATTATTATCATTTAGGTTTATTATAAAGCTGWATATTGTCAGTTATCGTAATAATTGCTTGTTTTCTAATCACATATTATTTTGATTAAGCTATGAAATAAGTAAATAGATATAAGACAGTATTGTTTGACTTTTGAACTTACGTGTATTATTACAGGTCAATCTCCCCAATGTGTASAAGAGTCTGGTCAATAATGGATCATTCCAACAGTATTGGTAATTTGAGATTATTTAACTGATTCATAGTTTTTTTCTTTGCTATATTATTTTACTTTTTAGTCTTTTCAGATACCATCTTAATTATTCTGTTGTAAATTGTGACCCTGGCAATGTTTGTCCTGCATGTCCAAAGGTTTGTTTTATAATTACTTAAAATAGAAACGTATTTTAAACAGTCTTATTATTATAAACAATGATATAGAAATGAAAGAAAGTTTGTTTATCATAGTGCCATGCGGTCTTCATATTCATATCTTTTTATTATTATAATATGGTTTTTCTCTATATACATACATGTAGCTTAAATCCGACTTGCTTAATCGAAATTATTTTAATAAATTGTAAATTTTCCAATGTGCATGTAGAATAAAGTTTAATCTACTTCATTTGCTTATTTTTGATGTGCATTGTATGTATATTTATCGCAGGACCCTGATGAAACAATCATTCATTCATTTGATGCTTGCTTTGGACTTGTACGAAAGAAATCTGCTGGTAAAAGCACTGGTCCTCCTTTACTTGAAGGGATATTTTTCACACCACAGAAGGATGTTGATGAGTATGTTGCAAGCTATTCTAAAAAAAAGACCAAAATTTCATCAGTAAGTCCAATTAGCATATTTAAAAAGAGTTGAATAGTCTCATTCAGCCTCAATTTTTATTTACCTACTTTAAACTTGATCACTTGTTATACATTAATTAATATTTCAATATATACTTGACATAAAAGAACTCTCAAGGAGTGTTGTGTAGTGTTGTCTGAAATGTGCAATTTGCATGTACACAGCTAAAAAAGTCTATTGACAGGGTTTTATTGAATTTTTTTAGGACTGCAACGAATTTCATGCTGGTGAAGTACAGTCTATGATCCGATCAAAGGGGAAGGCAAAAGTCTTTGATGAAAAGGYAGTACTTGGTGGTATATGTAGGCAWGAAGCTCCAACTGTTGGATTCATGAATACAAAGGCAGGAGAAAAGTATGAATTTAATTTTCTTTTTTAAATTCATAAATTCATGTRCTGATATTGTGAATTAACTTACTTTATCTTTGTTAGAATTTCATTTTCAATTTACTACTTGCAAGAATTGCTAAAGAAAAGTTCTGGTCAAGTGATCTTTATCTATGATATTGGTTGTATCCTTCATAAACACATCCAGGTTATTGTATTTTTGAATTTTATCATATTACATTATGTAGATCTATATTGATCGGATAAGATTGATTTTTTAATCTGGCGGAGATTTGGAATTACAGTGAATCATATTACATAATCGATCACAATGCTCAAACATTTCAGCTACAAGACCTAAATAAGTGCATAATTATTATAGTAGTATTGTAGTGATTAGATAAAAAGGAACGTGGTTCGCTGCAACTCTGAGTTTCGTGCTTGCGCACTCATCAGGCAGATATCTGCACATTTTTGTCCTGCAGAATGGAAGTCTGAAAAGCATGATAGACCGAGTCACTTTAGCTTTACCAAGTTTCCAATAGAAAGCTATCAATAGAAACTCAATAATGTATATTTATTAATCTGTCTATAGATAAGTAATTTGTTATACTGTATATTTTGCTATTTTTTTAAAAAAAAGCAGAAGATAATGTTTATAGTAAAAAAATGTTATTAGTGTATTTAAATTATGAATGTATTTTGTGTCTTATACAAGGTGAAGTATGGACCAAAGAGATGTAAAGGAATTGGTCTGTCAGATGGGGAAGCAACAGAAAGACTATGGTCCTATTTAAGACGATTTTCTGCCATCACAAAGAAAATGACTGCATCCAATAGAATCAATACTCTTACCTTGTGTCTTTTACACTACATGGAACGTTCTAAAGCCAAACTTGGTATGAATTCATCAACTTTAAAGCAATAATATATCTCCAAAGCTATAGGCATAGCATGTCAATTTAAGTCCACTGGCAGTGCATGCAAGTATTGTTGTTAAAAAGTTTAGTACATTGTTTTTTAATGGGTTGTTCACGSTGTGACATAAACTGTAAGCAGAAAAGGAAGCAATAATTTTGTGTATGCTAGCTTACATGTAGTTGCCCTTACAAATTTTCTTTTCCTAACACTTACATTTGCATGTTATTCCCAAGGTACACATCCTCTGCATACATGTATGTCATAGTGTGCACTTATGTAAGTTAAACTGTATTTATTTTAATCTGAATGCAATAAAAATCTTTGATAACAGGCAAGTTGTTGGTAACCAGATTGAAGAAAGCTAAGAAATGTCTCTCTAATTCTAAAGAAGAACTGAGTACTCTACTTTCTTCTGTACAAGGTTAAAATTACAATTATCATTATGCTAAGATTTGTTTACGATGCACAGTCATGAATGTATAGTACATGTTTGTGATGCATAACAGAAGTATAGATAGTTAACAACTAAGTTACCTTCCACAGAGGCTATGCTTAATTTAACATTGTCATAACATTGAAATTGAACAAGCAAGCCCCAACAGAAATTATATTTATTATTTGATTTATCCTAGTGTTTATTTTTCTGTAGGTGCTACCACTGAAAAAGTCGCTGAGTGGGTTTGCNGACGCACTTCCAGTTCAATGCTAGTTTCATCATCTCATCCAAGTTGCTTTGCTTTTGATTGACAATTTTCTTTTATTCCATTTCCAAGATTTTATTCCATTTCCGCGAATCCATCTCCACAAAACCCTACCGAGTGAGGTGGTACTGTTTGTATTATCTAGCATTACTTCCTTTTTTTGTCAAGGAAAATCCATCCTCGATGACGAGAATTGCGTAGCATACATACACCGTCAATCTGATGTAGAGCTGATTTGGTCGCACCGTGCCTTTTCCACGTATTACAAAATGAATGTCATATATATTTGTTAATTTGTTCTATGAAACATTTACATCATTTATTTCTACACAATATTCATATTTGAAGATTGAAAAGGTGCATATAAAGTAAACTTGCTGCCTCAACAAAATTAACACACAAAAACAAGATTAGCAAATTTCAACAAAACTACATTTTTCGACATAAAATTTTAAACGATTCAGTTAAAGTCGAAGCTGCCAGACAAAAGAAGTCATTTAGCTATTTTAGTTTARATTTAGAGCTTTTCCGGCGACAAAAAAAGCGAGCGCGTTGTTGATTGAGAACTATGTCATCCGTCCATACGCGGCCTTGTTCAGTCATATATTGTTCATAAGGTCTTGTTGAATTGCTCAAGTGCGTACACACAGCTAGATGCAGAACATCAACGCAGGGCCAACTAGCCAGGAAAAAACATCACAAGTTGAACGAAATACATCTTTTCCTTTTAAAAATTTGTAATGAAGAAAAAAAAGTAGTTTCCAGGTGATTTYCCTTATTATTTTTAGATCAGCAACAAAATTAGCAAGATGTAAAAACAAAATTAGCAATGGCGTTGAGTCCTCATTATATTATATATGTTGTTGAAAAAGAAAACTAAAACTAATAAGTCGTGATCCATTCTCCATCCTTTCATTTTTCAAGTGTGCATGCTTCTTATCTTCTTTTCTCTTTTGAGCAATTAAATATAATAGAAGACATAGTAATCATCCCATTTATTCACGTCAAATTAAGTGAACACTCTGATCACTTACAACTAGAACCTTGGACAGATCCGTTGCAAATATCCCAGCATTATGTTTCATAATGTAAGGTCCCCAGAAGCAGAGATATATCTAGTCCTGTTATGTTTTTTTCTTCTGTTATCTGTTATCTTCCCTCCTCGTGGCGCATAGGGCCTCAAGGGGGCCTTATAGGGCCTTTTTATCTTCTACTTCTCTTATTATTTTTTAACACACTGACTTAATTTGACTAGTTTACCCAGTGTATCCTGCTTGACTATTTCAGTTTTCAGTGCGGGATCTAAACACAAAAAAGCCTTGATTGGCGTTTTTTTAGGGATCAGTTTTCACTGAAGAGATAATAAGAATTATGGGAATAATAAATGGGAATCACGCCTCACTATCTTATTTTCTGCTTAAATTATAAAGGCTTATATCTTTAAAAATACACTGTAAAGCTTGGTTAATGATGTAAAGAAAACGTTTGGTAGTTCTTGCCANCAACCAAGCGAACTAATCAAAATGAGGATGAAGAATGAGGCCCTCAAAGTGCTACATTCACTCGGGGGCCGATTAGAGGATGATTCCTTGACAGAAAGTCATGCCCATGAGGAGCAAGCAAATGCACACTCAAAAACAACGAAGCAATCCACCTCCAGCAAACCTCAAAAGGCGTATAGATACTCATGCTCGGTAAGAGATCTTACAATTTAACGTATTATTCAGTCTTTGGGTGTTAATGATTGCAAGTTCTTAAATAATAATTTTTTGGCGTTACCATAGTAACAGTGTTATATCAATTATTATATTTATCAAACTTAAACATTGCAGTGAAGTTTCTGGGGCATATGATAGCTGTATTACATAGCTTACCCTGGTCCCAGCAGTTTCTCTGTCTTTTATACCACGGATATATCGGCACGAAGCGCCAAGAGTAAGCTGTGAAGCAGAAACCTCTGGGACCAAGGTAATATTTAATATGTTTATCCATTTTTCCCATGTTCTGCCTYGAACATTTCTGTAATTTTGTAAAATCTCACAGATTTGCAAAAAAGACTTCACACATATTGCAAATCATTTAAGATCAGGACAGCATGAGCTAAAAGATGAAGAGATCGAAGAAATGAGACTTAAAAGAAAGAGCACAAAACTTAGGTAAAAATTTATCTTTATTCCTTAAAAATTAACATGAGTATATGTAAATCTTATGTTTATGCTACTACTAAATTGCTAATACCAAAGATTAAGAAGGGATGCAACKTATTTGAATGCTAATTTTGAATTGCATTTTTAAATAATTATTCATTTCCAATATTTAATTTCCATCCAAATTAACGCAAATGARTCTATGTTTTATTTGGGTCAATGCATCATTTATAATGATTAAGACAATCATTGCATAACCACCAGTACACGCACATAGCTACATAATTATGTAGGACAGAATTGGTCCAGTAAAGTCATTCAGCATAAAATTGCAAACAATCAAGATCTACGTACAAGTCAAAACACTGAAGAAGAACTGCATTAATATGCTATATCATGTTACCTGTTACCTAACCTCCTTGCGCCTCTTGGTGCATCTTTTTCTGTCCAATGCAATCACTCGCATCTATATGCTATTATCATAGGAAATGCATTTTATTGCTTTTTTTACAACATAACATTGCTCCTGACTGCCAATGRTGCACATCTGATATTTATAAACTGATCAGTTGCATCTCTTACATGTAATTCTTAATCTTTGTGGTGCTATGCTTACATTACATTACTAATTTGTGTTATGTATGCTCTAGGGAAAATAAGTCTGGAAAGAAGAAATTAAGATCATGTCCAATAAAGTCTTGTAACTGGGAAGGCTACAGGCTTGACTACCACTTACCCCACAAGCATAAGGTTCARAAAGGTTCAAAAAAGTACAATGACCTTTCCTCTTCATTTGCAAATAAGTAATTCCTTACTGCAAATATTTTATAGACCAGTACATGTACTATCTTATTTAGGATTTTTATTTACGAAAATGTTGTTCTTATTAATGCAGCATGTGACCCTGCTAATAACAGAGCTTTAACCTCCTAGTTTTTCCTTTGCRATTTCTTTCGTGAGGTAAGGAATGACACTCTGTTAGCAGGGTATGCAGCGTGTAAGRCCTAATCTCAACAATTAATTACCTAGGTTACACATTTTTGAATTGTTTTCATTGGTATCTGAAATATCAATATCATTGTTTATGACAAAGAAGAGATAACAGTCAATTTGAAATTTATTTTTTGCTATTGTGTTCAATTATRTTATTCCAAATTATTATCGAACAAAGACAAGAATTGCTTGTCAAAAACCACTTCAAACAACAGCTGGAGTGTAAAAAATATTTCCAAAAATAAGAAGTAATGTGAAATCATACAACATTTCGTAGGTATATTTACATTTTTGTCATATCTAATAAATGGTCATATATTACCTGGTGAACRAATATAAACATTTGCACAAACATTGAAGCTCAGATTGAAAAAGGAAACTGCAATTACATTTGTACTCAACTATACATAACTCAGTTAAGTTGTAAATTGTAAACWTTTTAAAAATAGCTAAAAAATAGCTTAATCTGATATCACTTAAAATCGTGTGTTTCAGAAATTGACAAATGTACATGTGTAACTTACATTGTGGCTACCAGTGAATCTATTAACCATTTCAGTTTCTGAACTGGGAAACATTTGTAATTTTCAAAAGATCAACTATATAATTGTGCTGATTGGTACAATATGATATTTGTGTAAATACAGTAAAACCCCACGTTGTAGAACCTAAAACATAAGAACCATTTCATGCTGAAATTACAAAGTAGGTTCTTGAWTTGCAAAAATAAGTTCAAGCTGTTTCATTTTCTTGTAATATTAATAACACAGTACTCTGTACATAGCCGACATATAAGCTGCAACCATGATATAAATGTATAGCTAACCCTACTGTAGGTTAGCATTACTGACTTGAGAAAATCTAGGTTATTATATGCAGGGTTTTACTGTAGCATCAMGAAAACTGTCTTAAGTTTAATAAACTGTCAACTTACTTTTCATTCCATCAAAAGATTAGTTTTAATATAATTTTCCAATTCTATTAAACACTGGGAGGAAAGAACAACTGTTGACCCACTTTGATTAAAATTAACATGGTTTTTTTAAAATAATCAACTGGTCATCTCTTACAATTGCATTGTCTTTGCAGATGGAGGACTCCTGTTCACCCCAAAGTTCATASTTTAGATGTTGGACCCTGTCTAACCATTTCCCCTTGATTTCATGACATTCTAACATGGATTTCTTTGTTAAAAATAGCCAATAAATAACATCTTCTTGCATATCTGAGTAGCAGGGAAGAATGACAGTTTCATCATCAGAGGCAGCAGAACAATTTTTATTAGCCATTTCACAAACTTGATGTAGAAGTGGTAGGGCAGATTYGTCAAAGTAAGACAGACAGTTTTTCATCAACACCTGTTGTTCTTCGGGCAAGATGTCASCTAACACTTCTATCTCATCTTCCTGAATAGTTCTTTCTCCACGCATTACTTCATCAAGGATTTCACAAGAAACAATTTTCTTGAGAGCATCCTTTTTYATCGCCAGTACTAAATCACTTTTGTTGCAAGGCTTTCTTGMCTTATTTAGGATGCCATCATGGTCAAGGATTATAAATTTTAATGAATCTTTRTTTTCCATGATTTTATTTACTTGAAGGTTACCGTATGCATTTGGTTTTTKAAAGGGGACACCATCTGGTAGACCTTCAACCTCATACATTTCTTTTTTTTTTTGTAAGGTACCACTGCACCAGGCTTGTTCAAACTTTCAGCTTTAGGAAAAATAAATTATTATTAGTCATTGTAAAATAATGTAGATAGATCTATGATAGTGTAGATAGGAAATGACTTTTTTAAACTTTTGCCGTTAAATTTCAGAAGAGAGATACTTGATCTTTGTTTCTTCTAGATTTTAATGATTTTTTTAATGTGAATTTTAAGACGTCAGAGAGTGAATTAAGCTACAATTGCYTTTGTTTTCTAGTACAGCTGGTAAAACAGAGTTGTGTCTTACTCAAATGTTAATATCAAATCAATAATTTCTTACTCCAACAAATGGCAGCAATATATTGTGTAATTCAATGCTTGATTAATACAAAACTTACCAAACTTTTSATTAAAGAGTTGCCTAACATCTTCCTGGTTGAACTTTGGTGGCATTGCTAGAAAACATATAAAATTTATTATTTATTGATAATAATGTGGAATAGAGAAAAGTGTTATTTATACTGGTTATTTACATTTATATTGGGTCAGTATTATGTACTGTATCGCCTTACCCCCTCAAAGTAAATAGTGAGGTAGAGGCTCAAACAAGTACCATGATTTTGACAAACTTTTGCAATTTTCATGGATTTGTGTGTCTAAGGTAGGGCACAATTCGTTGATGACAATTGTCATCATGAATAGTCAGTGACATGATATTAATATATCATCACTGACTATTCATGACAAAATTCCTGAAATAAAGCTTGTGTAGGGCTTAAAAATCAGTGTTTTGTTCCATTTGTCTTAATAAGGTATGGATTTTTCCCTCAAAGAATGAAGTGTTTTGARGCTGGAGAAGGACACTCATATATCAAATCCCAGGCCATTCACTCCATGGTCCTCTTAGCTTCCAGTTATTAAGAAACGTTTTTAAACTAAGTATAGCAATGCAAATATATTTTTTTTCATTGAATAAAATATGTACCTAAGTAAGACCTGTATGCATTCTCAACTTCTGGGTTATTGTCAAGAAAGCTTTCAGCATCAGGTGATCCAAGATTCCAAAGTTTTYCATTTTGGTCTTRAAARAGGCAAACTGCTCTGCATCCAGCTTGAGCAAGAAAATTGAACTGAAGAAAAATGGACATATGTTTTGAATATTGATATATTTCATGGGGGTGACTAAACGTACTTATAATTATACACCCTATCCTATACWAACCCTAAGAATAATTTATACACCCTATCCCACACTAGACCTAAGAATAATTTATACACCCTATCCCACACTAGACCTAAGAATAATTCATAATAAAAAAATAAATAATAGTTTATTTATATAGCGCTTATAATAAAATTCTAAGTGCTTTACAATAATAATATAAAATATGTCTACTATAAAATCTAAAATTTTGATGTTTTAATTAATTTATACATCCTATCCCAGACTAGACCTAAGAATGATTTATACACCCTATCCCAGACTAGACCTGAGAATAATTTATACACCCTATCCCAGACTAGACCTAAGAATCATTTATACACCCTATCCCAGACTAGACCTAAGAATAATTTATACACCCTATCCCAGACTAAACCTATCTAGGACTAAAAAGAAACATTTAAATAAATTAAAATATCATTTTAGTTTCAGTAGAAAAAGTCTTTCCCCTTTCCCAGACTAAATATCAAAAAAGTATACCAGATCCTAGACAATGCGGGACATACATTTATACACCCTATCCCAGACTAAACCTATCTAGGACTAAAAAGAAACATTTAAATAAATTAAAATATCATTTTAGTTTCAGTAGAAAAAGTCTTTCCCCTTTCCCAGACTAAATATCAAAAAAGTATACCAGATCCTAGACAATGCGGGACATACTGTATAGGAAATGTAGCTAGGGGAGTACTAGTATCTATAATCTATATTGTATAGTTTTTCTGCAACTAATCAGCTTTGCTTCATTGAGCCAGAAAATGAGCTCTGGATATTAGAATAATGCCCTGTATTAAGTAAGGGATTAAACTAAGGTGCAAATACTTACCTGTGACTGTATTTGGTGTTTCAATTTATTCACCACTTCAGGACTACACTGCTGATTGCTGGCAGAACTTTCACAACTGCGTGCTTTTTCCAACCACTCATCTTTTTGAGTGGACGTGAGAGAGGAGTACAGATCTTTTAGAGCTAGGTTGCGCTCCTTTATGCCCATTTTAGTATATGGTTCTTGAAGAAAATAAAACGTTTTTATTTAACTTTATGTTCTATATATAAAGCAAGTTCAAAAAACAGCAGCTTACCTTGCTTTGAACGATGTGAGAAAAACATATTCCATGGATTAGGCTTCCTAAACAATGGGACTTTGCCGGTTGGTCTTGTCAATTCCTGATCGTCAGTTCCACCTCTGTCCTCGCTGGACTTCTTTCTATAATTGCCGATCCAGTTCTAAGGAAGCCAAGAAGATAAAATGACACAAAATAAGTACCGATTTGACCTAAAAAGAATCAAAATATGAACTAAAACGTACCGTGATTTGAGTCGTCGACAATCCCGTTTCAGCGCTCAAACGAGCAATTTTACTTTTATTCTCCGCCCCAGCCGAAGATTTAAGGCCATTGTTGTATTCTAAAATAAGTTTTTCTTTCTGAAGATCGGTGATCTCAGTTCTAGCTCTTTTAGTAGCCATTTTAAAAACAGGTAAGAGCAGATAAATCTGTATTCAAGAACTGCCAGCAAAGAAGAGCATGTCAATTTCACACTCGCGTGCTAAAAGCAAGCTTGCTGACACGGCTAAAACGGTAACAAAGTAACTTCCCGCAAGTAGCGGAAGTATGCTGACACCGCTATTAACCGTGTTTTGTTAGTTAACAAAGACGGTTACTAACCGTTAACAACAAGAGGATCGGGTGATTATTTGTCAATTCTCAGGGAAAGCGCATTATTGCTTTCAATTCCTACTTTGTTCAGAAATTGTTAGCAATCTCAAATGCAGACAACATGGTCGAAACTTCAAAGAAAAGCATCAAGTGGATGGAGAAGGTTCAGTTTTTGGATAGCAATTAGATTTTTTAATTGTAATTTTGTGTCAGCATTTATCAATTGTGTTTATATTTACATGGTTTAGGTGAATATCGATACGCAGGAAATGATTCTGGTACCAGTGAACATAAAATCACACTGGACGTTAGGGGTAAACCACATGATGAATTCTTACATTTACTGAGCAGGCATAATATATTACTGGCACATACTCTGTAGGTAATCAAGCCCGGTACAAAACAAATCCAGCACTTTGACAGCTTGGATACTGAAAACAATACAGAATTCTTCGAATGCGCTAGGTAAATTTATATGATGAGTGAAAACCTAGAAGGTTTTTTAGAAAGTTTTATAGTCCTGATTTTCTTGTATTTTACTTTTATATAAAATGTAAGTATACTTTATTTTTTTTAGCGTCTTTCTCAGATCACATGGGTTTGAAGTTGACAAATGGTCAATGTCAAACCCATCGATGCCTAAACAGACTGATAGTGTCAGCTGTGGGATCTTAATGTTGAAGGTATTCTGAAAACTCGATATGAATCAAACCTGACCATATATTGCTCATATACGTCTTTACTCGTTTTAGATGGCAGAATGTTTGTGCAAAGGTCAAGAAGCAAACTTTAGTCAGGTTGGAGACGCGTAATTTTGATTGTTTTAACCTACCCCGTGTGATCTCCCAAAGTATAGAAATTTCAAAACATTTACGTGTGTTCTTATTTTTCCTAAACAGAGAGATGTTGAAATCTTGCGGTACGAGTTTGCCATCAAAATCTTAGAGTCATAGATGCTACCACTGAAACCTCTCGGCCTGGTGATGGTCCACCGAGAATTCTAAGTTTCAAAAAAGTGTATTGTGTATTTTTTTTTTTTTTTTTTTTTTGAATCTTTCTATCATTGCATGGGCGGATCCAGCATTTTATAAGAGGGGGAGTACTTTTGTCATAGCTAAAAACTAAGTATAGCAGATGGAACTAATCATTTTTGTTAGCTACGGATTGTATAGAGCGCCGGAGAGAAAACTAGTATGCACAATTTGACAGGAAGCAAAKTGAATTTTATTGCAACGCATCTTTGACTCGTACACTACTCAAATAGATTGTTAAGCAGCATAGTCGCAGACACATTTTGTGTATGCTACTCGTTTTCTCTATAAAAGTATATATTTCGTCGTCCAATAAGCAACTCCCCTGAATTTTAAACTTGCCTTGTATAATGATAACGGCGTGGTCACAAGGGCCGACGGGTCTGGCTTGTTCAAGCTAAAATTGCATGCGCGTTTCYATGCTATTCCCATTCGAACTTTTG